CCCACCCCGCCCTGCCCCGCCTCGCCTCGCCTCAAGGTGTGCGTATCCGGGGCGGATTTTCACTCGATCAAGCGACGTAAAGGGTATGGTGAGCTAGAAGAGGGGGGTGTCGGGGTTACGGAGGGCGCCGGTTTAGAGCGTGCGGCCGACAGACGTGCACGATAAAAGCGGGAGGGGGTACTGAGCACCTTCCGGGGCCGGGGGAGGTGAAGTATAGTAGTCCGGTCAGACTGTACAGCGCTGCACAGCAGCCGTCTCTCTCGTCTGCCAGCACACGGCTCAGTGTCCGACGCACACATGGAACAACAGTCAGCGTAGCTCGCGCGGTGCAACTTTCATCGGTGTTGTTGTGGCAACCACTGCGCGCGCGCGCGGATATTGAGATCGATGAGTCCCGACTGGCCTCCGCCACGTGAGTGGAGTGATTAGTTCTCGTGCAAGCGCGCAGCCAAAAATGCGTACAGTAGGAATAAATTATTCAAAGTAAAAATAGCTCTGCAGCTTGCAACAATTAGTAATCCGAAAATTTCTGAAAATCCTTACTCTGTAAAATAAAAACCTTCCCCTGTGAATGCTTTGCCTCCCATCAAAACTTGTTTTTGCGGTTTTGCTCGGAGGTTTCTCTTTTTGTTGGATAATAATTGATGTCACAAGTATTAAAATTGTCATAACGCAACGAGGTTCTGTCAAAGGGATATAAGTAGCCAGACCAGACCAATCTCGCTGTATCTATTTGCTGCAAATATCTTTTCCTCTGACTTAGTTAGTGGTGCGACGAGACGCCCGCCTCCCTCCTCGGTGCGCCCCCTCCCTCCTCTCCTCTCTTCCCTTGCACAACCCCCGCCCCTCCCGCAGGCCCATCACCAACTAATTTTCGAGGGGAGGCGGTTCGGCGCTGTGATCACTGCTAGCCAGACCTTTCCGCTACAATGGCCCCCGGGCCCACCGGGGCTCACCGAGGCCCCGCCCGGCCGAGGCCATAGTGAAAAGGACGGGGGCCGAACCAAACCCCCGCCGGGGCCTCGGATGGCCCCCTGGTGGGCCACGAGGACAGGCCCCGGGCCCGGCGCAGACCAGCTGGGGCCGGCCGGCCGGCTCCGCTCCCCCGGGCCCGGGCCACGCCCCGCAACGCTGCGCCGCGCCCTGCGGCTGATTTGAATTAGTATGTTTAGTGCAGGCCGAACGCGTTCCAGGCCCGCTGCGGGCGCATTTTTATTTTCGTACGGTACGTCGTTCCGTAAGTCCGTTCAAAATAGGGCCCCACAGAGAATCTTTGGGTGAACCCACGAGAAGTGGAGTTGGGCTACTAGTCCACTGCATTTTGTTTGGTTATTGCGCCGTACCGATTGCCGAATAAACTATGTCGTGGAATGAAATTAGCTGTGCTGGAGCTTGGATGGGGTGGCGTTGCTGTGCGGTGGGGCAGGACTGGGCGAGGGTTGGCCAGGTGTACAATGGTGACTCCCTCCCCCGTGCAGCAGTGCTTCGCGCGGTGCAGTGGGTAGAGAGACAGGCTTATGAGGGGAGGG